CTAACCAGATTCTAGGGAATCTCAATATCATTGATCTTTCTTCATAGAGCATTGTTTCAGTGCAAGCCTCTTTATTGGTGACCGAAATATCCCAAAAGTCTGATCTCAATGAGCGTAGTATCGAGTATCAACCAACTTCAGACTGCACCAAAGCTGACTATCTCACTACTTCCTAATGGCCAAGTTTTTCAATTAAAGGTTCTAAGGTCATTTAGTGCTTCATGACACCACACAGCGGCCCTGTATTCTCCTTGACTAGACTCAAGGGTTACCGGTACCAACAAATGTGTCACACTAATGTAGCCATCGCTTCAACCATGTCAGTATACCCTGCACAGTCTCCATGATCTATTGCTACTTACCTAATAATGTTCCCCGGTCCGATAGAGAATCAATACAAACCTAAACAAGGATCCATAATGTAAAACAAGCAAGTCAAATAATGAAATCATTTAAAGGTAATCTAGCTCTAAGGTAACCCCACTTTTAACATTATATTCCCTAGTAATGTCGCCAATTCTGTAATACGATGGAAGAACTGACTTGGGTGTTTTACATTTGATCGTAATTGTTGCAGATAGCAAGAGTCTCCATCGAATTTTCTTTTATCCAATAAGGAAAGGTTGAAAAGAATAGGAAAGACATTTGAGATATTTTCTTGAGTTCGGGGGGGTAGGTTATGAAAAGGGAAGGTGTTAGCACCCTTTTCATCCATAGTTATCTATGGACTCTTAGTTGCTTGCTAGATCACTTGAAAATTGCTTTGTTTGAAATGTGTTTGTGGTGGATTTTGAAAGTATTTTTGAAAAACGCCTTCGTTTAGGAAAACCTTGTAATAATTCTCGTCTCTATAAGAATGCATACAAAGTGTTGGACCTTTTTGAAAATATTTCATGTTTTTTTGAAAGTGTTTGGTGTGTTTGAAAAGATGTTTGTTTGAAAAAGGATTGTGAGCAAGAAACTAAGAACATTCTACCTACTCAAAAGTCTTTCGTTCATTTCTCTCTTCCTTTGATATTGCGATCTTACCATTGATTAGCCTTATCTTTAAAAGTAAAGGGACGGACGCGGGTCATCGTATAGTCATGAATAGAAATATTGTGAGATACCTTAGCATTTCTCTTAAAGGACCAAGATCATTTGTAAGGAAACATTTGTAGCGTCATCGAGGGATTATGATCTCGTATTTTTTTTGTTTTTTCTAAGGTATCTCACATGCATAACATGGTCATTTTCGCAAGGCAATAAGTGTGGATTACCTTAGAGGTGCGCGTGTGTTGATTTCATGCATTTTTTGTATTAGAGATTAAGGTTTTCTAGCGGTTGATTTTATCTTGCCATACACACCCTAGTTACTAGCATTTATATTAAAAACGATAAATTTGCGGAAATTAAAATCCTACGCTATTACATCATTAGAGGGATGGGGGATACAACGTACAAATAGGGATGAAATAGGAGATTAAATATTACAACTATATTAAATAGCTATGAAGAAAATATGTGAAATATGTAAAAACAATGTAAAAGAGAAGAAAAATCAAAATTTTAACATTATGTGTCGACACATGCTCTTTTACATCGACACATAAACTTTCCCTGCTCCTGTAAGTTCAAATCAATTTAGTATGAGTCAATGTATAATAACATGTGTCAACTTTTTCCTTGTTTGTGTCGACTCATACGTGTTTTGTGTCGACTCATACACCATTTTTTCCTTCTGTTTTTAGCCTGTATAGCAGTATGTGTCGACACATAAGGCTTTGTGTCGACTCATACACCTTTTTTTCCTACTGTTTTGGGCTTGTATAGCAGTATGTGTCGACACATAAGGCTTTTTGTCGACTCATGCTTCAATTTTTCACTCCAATATTGTTTTATGGTCTGTACAAGTTAGTTCTTAACATATAATTGACAAGAATGGAAGACAAACAAAATGTTAGCTTCAAGGGCAATGGTTACTATATTTTATCTTCAAAGATGAATCATTAATGATGCTTGAAATGAAGGTTTTAAAGTCAAGAAGACTTACCTTGAAGCTGGAATTTGTGCTTTGAGTTTGACTTGTTGTCTTGACTGTTCTTGAGCTTGGAAAATAATGATGTTACAGAAGTTATTCTTGTGTTTGAACAACCTCTATAAGATGTATGTAAGGTATTTATATGGTTGGACAAAACTTGTAAGGTATGAATAGTTCTAGTATTTGGATTTCAAAGCTCAAGAATGGGAGCTTTGTGGACAGTTATGGCTTTTTTGAAGGTGTGAGATTTTTGAGGGCTTGTCTACATAACAACACTTCTGGATTTTTCTCTATTTTTTCTGACCCTTTTCTCTTGCAATTGGCCTCTCTATTTATATATAAGGTTTGAGACTTGAAACATCTCACATTTTGAATCACATGTTATGGCTATCTTTCTTGTTTTTGAAGCAAAGTGACAAACATCTTCCCAAAGCTTGTACCATGCTATTGTAGAGCGGTTGAACTTTTAACATGCTTGCTTATGGTCTTGTACATGAAGTTTATAGCTCAATCAGTTGAATACCCAATACTAAAGGAGAGTGGACTTTGTAATTAAAGCCACTTTTCCAAAATGGAAGTGTAAACTTTCTTCCAAAAATGGAATGATTAATTGGATAATGATTCAAACACTTGGATTATAGCTCAATCAGTTGTGTAAGCATTCAATTATGGAGTGAAATGTAAGTTAGAAGCCTGCAAAGTGAGATTTGTACATCATGCTTGAATATTGAATCAAGTGTTCTTCATAAATTTTCCTTGTAAATCAAGAATGAATACCCAACTTCTGATCCTTGAATCTCCTAGCTCAAGTATGATAAATTCATGCTCTTGGATGTTTTGGAAAGCTTGAAACATTCTCTACAAATTTCATGTTTTTCACTTTTATTAAATCAAACTAGAACTTAATGGAAACTTGCCAAAAAGTTGGGATAAAAACCTGACCAAACCTGCTAAAAATTTCTCCAAGTGTTTAATCAAAAATGCCATAACTTCATGAATTTATAACTTAAAATCCAAGCATTTCTAGAAAAAGTCATTCCCTACAATGTTTTAGATCTCATTGAAATCTACAACTTTTATGTTGAAAGTTTCCTTGAATCATCTTGCATTATGGTGAAAATTTGGCACAAAATCATGGTAAAAAAAATTAACTTTCTAACACTTAGAAAAATTTCTAAGTCTTAGAATTTTAACTTTTCAAATATGATTTTGACTTTTTAATTTCTTGATGAACAATATTCATATTTGGACATGTCTGGATAAAATATGATTTTTGAAATTTAATTTGGATAAAAAAAAGTCAAAGTTTGACTTTTTCACCAGTTGACCAAATTTTAACTATCAGTCAATTGATCTTGAGAAGTGTTTTGAATCATGCCATTAGGTAAAGATGATGCATTTAAATCCTTGATATCATGTCTCAAACCAATAAGTCATGTATTTGATCAAAAATCAAAAATTGAGTCTTCTCAGTCAAAATTTCAATTTTGATCATTTTGCCCTTTTGATGATTTGATCAAATTTCTTGAAGAGTTGTAGTCCAAATTTTGATCAATTGACATATTTGAGTTCAAAATGTTGATATGGATAAAAAATTATGAAGTTTGACAATAAAATTACCATAATTTACTTTTTGCCTAATACAATTGATTTTAGGTCAACTGATCAATTGATTGGACAAAAATGTGATTCAAAGCTAGAAACTTGACATAAGAAATCTTGAGAAAATGAGAGGATAAATTTTAGTGTAAAAAAAACCATAAGGACAATTGTAAGATACAAATAGTTTGTATATTAGCCAATGAATATACCCCAACAATGATTTTTGCACAGAAAAATACAAAAATAAACAAATGTGATGACTTAGTATTTTCAACCTCCTCCAGTTTCCATATATCATGTTTTCCATAAATCCTTATCTACTCAGGTAGTAACACCAATAGATTATTATAGACACATATACATTGCCAAAGTGGTGTAACAACCAAATAGTAATTATACTTGCAAATAATTAGCTAATATGCCTCTAAGATGCGGTATTTAGAGATGAATTTTAAGTTATGCTTTAAATACAACATTTATCCAATCGACCAATCCTTTTCTCAAATAAACTCATAGGCCAGAACAATGTCTTATAGTATGTTTCTTTGTGAGGAAAATGATGAAATGAATGGCATGGGGAAACCTAGTGATAAGGTGCACATGGAGTAGTTTTCAAGGGTGTGTGTGGCCTTAAAAGTCAAATACATACTCCTAACAACCAGTTTAAATTAGCCATTATTGAGTAACAATAAATCAAACATCATATTTGTTACTACAAGTTTTAACCAATGGTGAAACATCAAAATGCTATTTAATTGATTTAAGATGGAGATATTGTACCATAATCTGGTGTTACAAATTACACAACTTCTAAATCACGAAATTGAGTCATCATTTTTATAAATTACACAATTTAACTATATTCTTATTTTTTCATTTTGGGAAAACTAAAACTATATTCTTTAGTCCTTGCTATTTGATTCTCTTTCAAACAAAATTCATGCTCTAAATTAAAGCAATTTGGGTGGCAACTATTCCAAAGTCAATGACACATGAAGAACCATATTTTTTACACCATGACTATAAGAATTGGTAATCATCCGATGATAAAACAACCATATTCTAACCAAGATGCTTTAAGAGTACAAATTCAAACACACTACAATGATGAAACAAAACACAAAGCACACGATATTAAAATGAGTTATCTATGTCTTACTTTTGCCGACTTCCCTATACCTAAAACCATGACGTCACTATAAACTCTCAATATCTTAGAGCATATCGACCGAAAAACATACAAATCACACACAAAAGATCAGGGAATGAATGAAGCGAAAGAGATGACAATCACAAACCCAAATTGCAGTTGCAGCATAATTTCTGCAGACCAAACAACACTCATTAACATGTTGCTAGATGCAGACTATTAGATAGCTCATGTATGAAAGAAGTAAAAATTGTGTGAAGCCTCTGAATTAGAAGAATAAAAACAATAGAAATGAAACAGCAGGATAAGGTACATAAATAGTGTCACTGATGTGGTATCTTCTGCAATGACATTGATCCCAATTGTGGGATGAATTAAAATCAAGTATATGGCCGAATTTGGAACCACAATAGAAAACTTCAACCATCTTCTAGTTTTTCTAACCATAAATTAAAAAAAAATTAGAAACACAAATCTCATTCTTCTTTAAATGTAGTGAAAGTTCTTAATTTTAAAAGTTTTTCAACTGTGTAATTCAAAAACACCTCCTAATCAGTATTCGTGTAGGCTGCTAGCTACTGGACAAGTTGTACCAAACCTTATACCTAATTTCATCAATGAACAAAGCATTTGCTGGTCCAACCAATAACTTCACATGTAGTAACACGCTTCCTTTGTCCTCTAGAGATGCCACACAACATTTCGTCCCCCACCATGGTATCAACACATATATCCGACCCCAAAATCTACAAATTTATACAATATAAAACTTAATACCATCGACTTATAAGAAAATTCAACATACAACATGGACCATAACTTTACCATAGCATGCAAGGACAATATTGATTGGGAGAAGCCATTAAAATGCAATATTAAATTAAATTCAATACGAACATCAGACGATGTTCATTTTGATATACAGAATAGTACAAGATTTATCATGCTAATGAGAGTATTACCTTCAGTACATAATCTGTTGAAATGCTTGACTCTTGACCTTCAGTTGCAACTGCCTGTAATACCAAAATACAATTAGATATGCAAAGATATTAATCCCAACAACTATATCAAGATTGACAATAGCTTGTTTATGTTTACCTTCATGTAGACATCAATATCTGAATCAGGCTTGACATTTGTTGACTTCTCTCTTCTAGATATCTAGATCAGACTTGTAATTAAAATAACCTTTGTGTCAACATGATATGAAAAGCATAGCTTAAACAAACCAAAGTATTGAGTAAATGACCAAAAGATAAATCAACATTGTGGTCAAATTGATTAGAATGTATCATTGAGTTGAAAGACCAAATAAAAGGTAACAAAATAGACCTATTGAGAAGTATACAAGTGCACATTGGATTAGTGTTGTTCTAACTGCTTTTGTCATTTCTGATGGTTTCCCAAGTAGAAATCCAATTGGATGTGCTGCAAGTAAAAACAATTATTAGTAAAATAATCAATTTTTTCATCACTAAATCACTACAAAAACAAAAAGATAACATTATATTATATGTTTACTTTTTCTTCAAACCTTTGGTACTCTAAAACAACATGGTTGACCATGGTGGGTATGTGAATTATCCATAATGTCAGCAAGAACCAGAAAATAAGCTTGAATATGTGAAAATCATCAACAGGAGATCAATGAAATCTCAAGTACTCAACATATGAAGCAATAATAATGTCACATAAATCAATGAAATGGAATTACATTGAGCTTCTAATTACAATGGACAAATTTATTTTAGTGTCTAAAATATAAAACTATAAGTCATTAACATAGGATATAGCATGGCTTTGCAAGAACCTGGATAAACGTCTTTAGAAGTAATTGTATTCAGGCTTATTAGTTGTATAAATCATGTATAATAGGATTAATGAGTCCTAGATTCAATTGCTACAAAATTAGAGAGGAATAAATAAGTTAGTAATAATATTATTGTACCAAAAGACTATCGAAACTTGAAAAGTATAATTGAAAAAAAAGGCAAGGGTGATAAGTCTATTCATTTTTAAGTTAAGAGAGGAAACTTTTACCCAAATAAAGGATCCAAATATGCTACCAGTCTCAAATAGAAATCCTCTAACTCCTTATACTAATATGATATCCCCAAGACTTGTTGAACCTGAAATGGAATTAGCCCAAAACACCTTTATAGTACTATTATACTGCAGCTCCAATATAAATGTTCTGGTAGAAACATGAACAACTAATATAATAAAGTTGAATCACAAGTTTTTGTAAGTTTCAAACAAGTTTATTGTTGGATAACAAACATTATACATAAACCATTTGTCATAGACTCACATATAATAAGAGCTACGTGATTATTAAGTTTTAAAGCAAACAAACAACACTGCTCAATTATTCCTCAGAGCACAATGAAGTCACAAAATAATGACATACAAAATTTGAAAGCATAGAAAGACAGAGAGGCACCTCAGTGTAAAACATTGCTCCTAGCAAATCTCGAAATGGGTTCCACTGAACTCGGTCTTTTTGTCTCTTTGCTTCCATTGTCACTACCATCCATCTGAATTTCTAAAAGTGAAATCAAATAAAAAAAACCTCTCGGGATATTCAATATGAAAAGGAAAACATACATATTAGCATAAGTAACTTAGGGTTTGAGAAGACAACCTTGTTCAGATTCGTTGTGGTGGTGGTTGCTTTGACGGCGTCGTGAGCTGAGAGAGAGATACCAAGCGCGGTTATGGATTTGTATCGCAACCGAGAGAGATTGTGGTGGATTTGTATTGAGTAGAGAGAGCTTAGTGAAGCAGAGAGAGATTTGACGAAGGCGTGAGCGAAGAGAGAGAATCGCGGTTAGGGATTTGAAGCGAAGCAAAGCAAAAGGTGAACAATTTCCCTCTTTCTCCAAGGCGTGTTTTAGTAATATTTGGGGGACGAATTTTGTTAAACCGTCGTAGTTCTAAATTTCTCTAAGGCGTAAGTGGGAATTGTATATGTTTGGTGGGTGACCGTTACTGAACCGCCGTAGACTTCTTTTTAGGGCGGTGACTGTGCCCTTCGTGAGCTCATTTTTAGGACAGTTTATTGATAACCGTCACAATGTTTATTAATTTTTTAAAAAAGTAAGGGGAGTTGGTGTCAACCGTCGTAACCCATGTCGCTATATGTCAATTATGACGGTTATTAAGTGACTGTCGCAATTTTTATGTCGTAAAACTCTAACTTTCTTATAGTGATGTGTCATCATTTAGCATTGAATCCTGACATGAAGCTAGTATCCCAGAAAAAAGAGAAAAGGTGGAGAAGAAAAGAAAAAGGCCATAAAGGAAGAGGTTGGGAAGCTACTCGATGCCGGTTTTATCAAAGAGATCAAATATTCCACTTGGCTGGCCAATGTGGTCATGGTTAAGAAAAAGATGGGGAAGTGGCGTATGTGTGTCGACTTCACAAACCTCAATAAAGTGTGTCCCAAAGATCCATATCTGTTGCCACAAATAGATCGGCTTATTGATGACACCTTGGGTTATAGGCTACTTAGCTTCATGGACGCTTACTCTGGGTACAACCAAATCTGCATTAGCCCAACCGATGCATTAAAAACGACTTTCATGACAGATTAGAGTAATTAATATTATGAGGTGATGCTACTCGGCCTCAAAAATATTGGAGCCACTTATAAGCGACTAACGGTAATGTGTTTGCCACTCAAATCAGGAGGAACCTGAAAGTATACATGGACGACATGGTCGTCAAAACCACCATGGGGAAACAACATTTAGTAGATCTAAAGGAAACAATTGTGTTAGTAAGAAGATACAATATGAGGCTAAACTCGGACAAATGCATTTTTGGGGTACAAGCCGGTAAATTCTTGGGATTCATGCTCATAAACCGAGGAATATAAGCCAATCTGAATAAATAATAGGCGATCATAGATATGTGGAGCCCGCCTTTGAAGAAATAAGTATAATAGTTGACAGGGAGGCTAGCCGCCCTATCCTGTTTCCCATTGTTCGCTGGAGATATAGCGGTCAATTTCTTTGCAGCCCTCATGAAGGTGGAAGAATTCTAGTGAACAAAGGCGTTTGAGGAGGCCTTTCAATGGGTAAAACGTTTTCTATCCTCTCCTCCTATCTTGACGAGACCAAAAGAGAATGCACCCTTGACCTTATATTTGGCGGTGTCCTACAAAGACATGAGCTCAGTTCCTGTATAAGATGGAGAAGACGATGAGAAGTCAGTTTACTTGGTTAGTAAATTTCTGAAAGGGGCTGAGCTGCGATACCATAAGATAAAAAAGTTAGCGTTGATATTGGTGACAACAAACCAGATGTTGAGACATTACTTTCAAGGTCACTCGATAACCGTAAGGACCAATTATCCCATCAAGAAAATACTGAAGAAGTCCGACCTAGTGTCTTACCCCAAATTTACCCTATTGATTTCTAACCAATTTATTCCTTATTGTTATTAATTTCTAGTGTTATCATTTTCTTTATAATATAAAGTTTTGATTATTATTGTAAAATTCATATATATATATATATATATATATATATATATATATATATATATATATATATATATATATATATATATATATATATATATATATATATATATATATATATATATATATATATATATATATATATATATATATATATATATATATATATATATATATATATATATATATATATATATATATATATATATATATATATATATATATATATATATATATATATATATTATATGGGGTTTAAGTTTATAGAGGGGGTGTATTATTTTAAAAATGGACCATCAAAATTTGATGGCCCATTAAGTTTTCCTTACAATTAAAAATGGGGTGTATTTGTTATTGAAATTTCAGCCCATTAAAGTTTTGCTTTAAGAAAAAGCAGAAGGAGGTACATTATTAAGTAAAAGGAGATTTTATTTTCTGAAAATGAAATCTTGGTTCATTGGCCCACTTGACTGCAGGCCCATTGCAGTTTTTATACCACTCCATTAAATTTGCTTTTGTTTTTTATTAAACAAGAAAGGGGTGTATTGGGCTTAGCTTACTTCGCAGCTAAGCCCATTTGAGCTGTCTTTGTATACGTGCAAAAGGGGAGGTGCTTAGAATATGGTCGGCCCAATGGCTTTTGAGGCCCATTTTAGTGATAACAGGGGAAGGGGTGTTTGAGAAACCCAATAGTTGAATGGATAACGAGACCCATTTTATTTTCCACTACTGATTTTGTTATTTTTGTCACTTAATTATTTTCATAATCATTACTGTCATATATTTTCATGTTATATTATTATTAACTATAATTAATAAATATTATTTTTATTATTATTTTGTTGACTAAGTCAAAATAGGGTTTTGAAACCCTAAAGCACAAGCGGCGCCCTGTTCTTCATCAAGCTAACAAAGACCCAAGCCCAGAAACCCAAAAGAACAAATATTGTACATATT